ACACACACACTCTCTCTCTCTCTCGCTCTCACACACACACACACACACACACACAGACTCACACACTCACATGCATATTATAAAGATACATATACTTACACATACACCCACATATACATATAATAACTACTAAAGATTGTGTAACAAGTTTATGTATGTATGTATTTTAACTAATGAACTGAATAACTGGATCATGTGTGTGTGTGTGTGTGTGTGTGTGTGTGTGTGTGTGTGAGAGAGAGAATGTGTGTGTGTGTGTGTGTGTGTGAGAGAGAGAATGTGTGTGTGTGTGTGTGTGTGTGAGAGAGAGAATGTGTGTGTGTGTGTGTGTGTGTGAGAGAGAGAATGTGTGTGTGTGTGAGAGAGAGAATGTGTGTGTGTGTGTGTATGTGTGTGTGTGTTGGTTTGGAGTTAGCTGTATATTTCCTGGATATGGTTTTCTTGGCTGTGGGCAGATGGGAGTTTTTCAGTTGGGGTGCAGTTATTAAATTGGAGAAATATTTAGTTTATTTTGGGATAGTAGTGGTTCTTAATGGTTTGGTATTTGGGGCATTCTGTGAGGAAGTGCAGCTCTGTTTTTCAAGTTCTCCCAGAATGCAGTGGGAGCAGTCTCTTCTTCTTCTTCTTCTTAAGCGTTTTTGGCGGTTGGCAAACCAACTTATAGGTGTTTTACCGCCACCTGCTGGACTGGAGTGTGGCTCAAGAGTTTGGCAAGGAAAAAAATAATAATTCATTAATTAAAACAATATATACTTGTATAATAAAATAAAACCCTGTATATTCGCTCCAACAGACCTGTTTCTTCAGAAATGTCATTAACTGCACTCATGCTGTCCTCAATGCTGCTCCAACTATATTTTCCAAGTTGAAGTTTAATTTTAAATTGTTCAAATACTTCTTTTAATTCAATCCTTTCATGTTCATATGCATGACAATCCATTATCACACGCTGAACAGATTCTGGCTGAGAGTTGAGCAATTGATGAATTTGGTTTTATTTTTACAAAAAGTCTTTTTGTTTTTGGACCAAAATACAGTGCCGTAAACAAGAATAACATAGTGTTCATTTTTTATTTGGAAAAGCTAAAATAGCAATTTGGCTGACAAGAAGGAATACAAAATTTAATGGAGTTACTGATCCTTTACAGATGTTCAAGGCTTTGGTAAGAATAGGTTAGTTTTGGGGTATATGTTTTATGAATTAATAAATGATATTGACTCCTTTTTTTCTTTGTGGGGTACTGAAAGTATTTTATGTCAATCCAGTGAAGAGAGAGGTTTTAATATAATGTTATAAATGAAAATGGTTTATGCAGCCTTAATATGTTTATGTAGGTAGGCTATTTGTATTTATAATATGCACATATGTATATTTATAATTGTTTTGTAAATAAAAGAGGTTTAAAAGTCTCAATTCAATTCAAGTGAGCTTTATTGGCATGACTTGCACAGTATTGCCAAAGCATTGAACACTGCATGAACAAAGAACAAATAATTAAAAGTCAAGTCTCTCTCTCTCTCTCTCTCTATCTCTGCTTACGTAAACGAGCGTGAGTTAGGCCCCGCCCCCGAGCGTGGTGCTTTATAAGCGGCGCGCTGCGTCTTGCTGCGTCTCTGGAGTTCTGGAAGCGTTAGAGACGCACATCATTTCTCCCGCAACTGCGAAATTACAGGTACCTGCCTTTTTCTTTTCTTTCGTTTTTTTTTTTTTAAAACCGGCGCTCGTTTGCTTTATTCGACGCCTGCTTCCACTATATTAAAATCTAGCTCGTTTAACAATAGGATTGATCGTCTTGCCTCGTGTTTTGTCCTTCGTGATTCGCGCGCTGCTTAAAATGGCGACGCCTCGTTGCGATCTTCATCATCCTCACCTCAGAGCAGCCGTTTTTGTTAACGTTTAATCGATTAATCTGTATTTTCGCTATCTGTGACCGTGTGTTTGTGTGTTATAATGCGTATTTGACGGCGGCTGGTCTCAGATCAGCTGGTTTTTGTGCTTTTATTCGGTCGTTCGTGGGTTTGTATGGAGTCTATTGTTTGACCCAGTTTAGATATTGGCGCGCAGTGACCCACATCTCGAGTTTGAGCAAATACAAAACACGACAAACATTAAAATAGCGTACTAATGTTATTTATAAATATCAATTAATCGTTAAATGCCTGTTTATTTGTTTTTAATTTAATCGCTTTTTCCGCCTAGAGTCAGAACGAATGCGTTTATTGGCTCGATGCGAGCTGTTTTGAGCTGTAATGTAACGTGTATGTTTTATTGATCCGCTTGTGTGTTTCTAGCTCAGAATGTCTGACGAAGGAAAGCTGTTTGTCGGCGGCCTGAGTTTCGATACCACCGAACAGTCGCTAGAGGACGCCTTCTCCAAATATGGCGTCATCACCAACGGTAAGTAGCCAATCATTGACGCGCTGTGTTGCCGCGCTGCTTCTGATTGGTTCCGGCGTTGACTGCGATTTGCATAAGCCGCTCATTATTATAATGTCTGTTTTCAGTTCACGTGGCCAGAAACCGAGAAACCAACAGATCCAGAGGATTCGGTTTCGTGACCTTTGAGAATCCAGACGATGCGAAGGACGCACTTGAAGGAATGAATGGAAAGGTTCGTTACGGAGTCGCTTGTTTCCATTTGGGTTCAAATTGGGGGTTCAGGCTCTTTTTAGGGAGTCGGTTCATTTGACTCGGTTCAGCAGCACGAACCGACTCCCAAACGGCTCTGAGTTTAGTTCCACTTCTGGCTTTTATGATTAAGCCAAATTCAATAATTGTCATCTAAATTATGCAGTGTATAATTGCTGAACCTTATTTCCAGGATTTATTTTCCTTATTTTTTGGTATTTGAAGGCCAGAATAATTTGCAATAAAACATGATTGAGTTTTTTTTTGTGTATAAACCTGAATAGTTTGATACAAAAATCTGAATGTATTTTGTAAAACTATTGGTACAATATTATTTCTAGTTTTTGTACTTGGAACCTGAATAATATTGTATAGAAACATGAATGTATGGTGGGAAGAAAATTGACTCAGTTTTTCACCCTGAATGTATGAGAACTAAATAATAATGTGCAAAAAGCATCACCATTTATTTAGTTTATAAGGGGTGTAACTGATGACATGTTTCGGTAGGGACAATTTTAGATATTTTTGAACCCAGCTCAAAGATGCTAATCAGCACATGGTTAGCTAGCACAGTTCTAAACATGTAAAAATTAAATGTTATGGAATAACTCTCAAAAAAAAGTGCTTAATTTTAAGAAATTGTGTTCGGTAGTGACTTTCCTTAAAGTTAGTTTTATTTATTTTAGACTTGAACATTTACCTCAATGCTGTGACCCATCTACTCGCACCTCGTAGCTATAAGAGGAATATTTGCTGATCATAAATGCAGGGGTGTGGTTAAAATCCGTCT